ATTATAAATAGTGCTGGAAAATATGAAAATATATGTGCAAAGCTCATAAATACAAAAAAACACTTGATAATTAATATTAATCTTACCATCAACATTGCAAAGTTGGTAAAATGATTACAACTACAAAGCACTCTTCGATCTTCAAGAACGCGTTCAAACTTGCAACCTTCTTGCGACCAATTTCCTGCGCTGAAATCCCAGTAAGAACACTGGATGCTTTTCGTGTCACCTCTTTCGAGGCTAGGTAATGCAATGTTCACTGGGACACTCAAATTTGAAACTGACAACCCTTCAATACTTCCAGAAATTACAAGACTATTCAAGCGACTCTTTGTCTTGCTGGTATCCGCCAATGATAATCTAAAAAATTTTGTTTCTCTATAGAGCACAAATATCACTGTCTGGTTTGCAGAACTGTTTTTATCCGTTGACTCGTTGAATATTGTTCGTGGAATTATGAGTGAAGGAGATAAGACATGTCGTACTTCATTGCTCTGTTTATTCAAAATATTATTTCTCCTTTCTGATTGATTCGTTCTCCTTTGAATACCCGAAAAATTAAGTCCGCTAAAATTCTGTGACTCCACCGTTTCTAAGTTAATATCGAAGTTTCTTTTCGCAGTCTGAATTTTGCCTTCTGCGCCAATAACTAATGATTCTGCAAAGATGTTCAGAGTTTCAACAATCCTGAAAAATTAATAAACGTTTATTTTCTTCCTCCATGGCGACTCACTCGACTGAGGACAAGGTTATACGTCGCATTTTGTTCCCGTCGAATGAATTCAAACAATAGATGACACGATTAACCTCATTAAGCATTATTATCATGATCGTGATTATTATTATCATATCATTATTATTACCGTGTCATTATCGTTTGAATTGCATTTGACGTGACGAAAATGCGACGTTTATAGCCTAGGCCTGATGCTCAATTTTTTTTAACAGTGTCATACATCACCCACGTCTCTGCCAGATCAATTTATAAGACCTCGTACATACCTTGACGATGAGTTCCGATTCTGTTGACTCTTTAGGATATTTTTAAGTTGGGTGTCCAGCACATTATCTACAGCTGTGAGGAAGTCGTCAAGAATCTACAAACATGGACCGACAAGTATATCAGAGTAATGAAAAATAAAAAGCGCCAAATGCGTAGCTCGAACCTAAATGCAGTTATCTCGTTAATTTTACTGCGGAAAAATAATGATGTTGCAACAAAAAGTTTTTTTGGAACTGCATGTATATAGCTACAGGTCTGAAAAAAAATAAAACGCGGCAGAAATGATAACAAAAATATTTGCTAAATGTATTATTTTTAACAAGAAAGTGTGATCTTAGCTTGCCTGAAAAATATTACGCTTCCAAAATGTTACGATTTTCTCATGCTAACATTAAATAGAATGCATAGTTCGTCTAATTGGACAATTTTTTGGGGGAGGTTCTTTCGATTCGAAGCATCAAACCTTTATTATAATAACCCTGGCATGTGTGACGCACTCACTTTTGCCACGCAAATAATCTTTTTTTCAAAGATTTTTTTTTCCAAATTACTAGAATGCTTCATTAATCACAGTTTTGCCCTGATATTGAATTTGAGTTTTCCCTGCCATGCATATTCGTTCACAAATTCAATACAATCCTGTTCTTTAGGGACATTTAGGCCTAACACGATTCTATTTCGCTATAGTTTTTTGAAATAAATTATGTTAGCTATATATGTGAAAATAAAAACATCCAAATTGACGTACAACTAGCCGTATTATATTTTAACCCCCACCTCATAAACAAAACTAAACAAAACAAGAAATAAGAAACAATTTCAACATTGACAAACCTCGTTTGCTTTCTCTTTCACCAGAGCAATATTTTCTAATGTGGTAGCAATATAGTCGATATCACCAGGATTAAGAGTGTTGTTTCGATTAGTGGAAGACAAGTCTCTTAACTCTTTAGTGATGTTTACAACGTTGCTACTATTAACTTCATTCTGAATTGAAAAAATGTTAAACAATCATTTAATGTAATTTCTCTTAACAGTTTCAGCACCTATGAAAGACAAACTCAACTGTTGCATGCATGTATACGCCATTTCACCTTTTCGACCAATAATTAGTTAGAAACTATAGCGATTATTTTGGTGCCATTATTTTAGTTATGAAATTTGTAAGATGGAAGATTACAAGCAAACTATTCGCATTAAAGAAACTTACATTGTAAAAGTTATCTACAAGTTGCATGGAACGGAAAATAACCTTCGAATTCCAGTCGATTTTTATTCAAAGGTATTCATGCAATTAATTACCTGTGATAAAATGAAAAGATCTTTACTCCGCGAGTCTTTATATTTGCATTTCGTAACTACAATCGCCCCCCAAGAACCTCCACTTTCTGTTTCGGATGTTGAAAAACAATCCCGACTCGCGATAGACTGATTGTTATAAGGACAAGCAAGTGTAGTGACGTTTCCGACTGGAGTTTCTGGCCACTGGAAAATCCCATATGCGTCTGGAGAACCGACTTCCTCACCCGGACAAAAACCTTTAGGGAGAAGAAATTCAGCTGGTTCTAAGCAGCATCAGCATAACGTTACTTGACTGACTGGAGCCGACGGCGAAGAGATCTAGCCTATTTCTACTTCTTTCGTAGTACCAAAATTATAACTAGATACAGGGATTCTTTTGTATATTCTAGCAAAAAGCTGCATCGGCTGGCAACGATAGTTCCTTAGTGATATGTAGTATTTAAAACCTAACTAGTTATTGTGCATTTGGGACCAGGGAATATTTCAAGAAATATAAAACGCAAGCGCACGAACGATATATACATAAAAATATTAAAAACGAACGGCTTACGGATTATTATTTAACCCGCCAGCGTGCATGGTTTGTTATTCAAACAAAACCATCGACATAAATTATATAGTTCAACTTACTTTTGCTTAGAAAATTAACGGTGGTAAACAGTTGCGGAATTCCATCCTGTCCTATCGCTGTTATTAACACTTCGTACTGTGAATTTGCAGTTGAAATATTGTTGAATATATAATATTTCTTTGTGGAGTGAATGTGCTGATAATTAGTTTCCCCACTTGAAGAATCAGCTCCCACTATCTTTCTCCACAATATGCCATATTGCTTGATCTCCTTCGTGTTTGGTAAATTATTCCAACTAACGTTAAAGCTCCTTGAACTTGGCTTTGATATTGAAAAATTCGTTAATCGTGGAATAAGAAGTCCATCTATTATTATTTGGGACTCTATAATTGGAAATATATTTTATCAGTAAAATAGAATTATTGTAACTACGTCTCAAACGTATTAATTACGCCTATCAAATGTATTTGGAATTGCCCCTTCCGTGAGTAAAAATCTCTCTAGTATAATTATACAACTAGCCAATCACAATTCAGGATATTTTAATTGATCGTGATTATACGCATGTAGCTAAAGTCTATATGTAGCTTTTAGATGCCCGTTTCGTGCAAATATTGTTGTCAACATTACACACTTGTTGTCAAAAAATCATGAAACAAACAAAACCAAATTTCCTTCAAATTTGTCCTGCCCCCACGGATGAGAAGCACGCTTCCCCCACAGTGATCTCTCGATTTACCCGCGAATGAAGGCAAAATTTGTCACACACGTGTCTGGAGGTAAAGCCCCGCGAAATTTGGCTTCACAAAAACAATTGGGAGGTTAAACAATCGTTCCAGTTATTTATTAGGCTTAAATGGGAATTTTCCAATCGTACCATAGCAACGAGTTTCTGACGTGTGTACATTTAAAAATTTAAGAAGTAAGTCTTTAAGAACTGGAGTGTTTCAAAAAGAGCAAGGAAAATCTTCTCATTTTGCCTCATTTACTTGTATCGTAATAAGCTGGCAAATTTCAAACTAATTTCCAGATGTAAATTTTCTGTAATTTGGCTGATTATTGGAAAGCGCGTAGTTTGAGACGCTAAAAAACTTAAAACTGTCTCATAAACCTTGGAATTTGATTCACAAAGATCTGTATAGATTATATTTACATGGGCACGAAGTTAATTAATATGTGAATGGTGTTCGCAATTCAGAGATGCCTTCGTTGAACGTATACCTGTTATATAATGGGGTCAACTATACGTGGTGTTTGCTGTAACCATGCAAGGCCTGTTTGTTGTACCGATCTCAATAGGGAGGTTAAGATCGGCTTCCGCTACGAGTACCGATACCAATATTCAGTCACGCGTATGCGCAGACGTAACAATCGTCCAAAATGTGATAACACCGGAAGTCGCGAGTACCGTTTTAGGGCTGAAAATGGAAGTGAATACGTAAGCGAAGTACCAAATTATATTTACTGTATTACTGTCATTTTCTGCAGTTTTTTTCTAATAATTTATTTAGTTTTAGTTGTATAATGTTTCTGCTTTGTTTAGTGAGACTTAAGGATTGTGATTAGAGTTTTTGATGTGAATACAGCCGCTATACTCCGCCATGTTTATTTACTTCTTACGGAAGTCACAATCTTAACGCTTTAAAATTTCCGCACTGCCAAACTGTAGTGTATATAATGTATATATCTTAAAATATATACATAAAGGTTACACTGCACCGCACGAATTGGCGCCTGCGATAATATGTCAGTAGTGAATAAAGGAAGGTGACACTTCATGTCGTTTTGCATAGAATTTATTTAATATTTAACTAAAATCAAATCCAATAGCGGGCTACCTGTGGAATAATATGTTAATTAAAAGATTGCTATTGGTTTATGTGTGCAAAATACAATAGACATGTGATGAGAAAGGAACAATTTTTGCATAAATCTACCTCAACATAGTTAATGAGTTCTATTGTAGTTTTATGTGCTCTCCAAACCATGTATATTCTATTAACTGTGATTGAATTTAACACGGATGTAGTAACCACATTTCCTGATGTTTGAGATTTAATTGATCTTAAAACTCGACTAGGGTTAAATGCAGATAAACGAAATGGTAATGCCACTCTGCTTGATATTTTTGCAACAAGTCAACAAAAAGTATATATACCCAATTATTTTTTATCATTTTATGCTTGTAAGAATAAACAGTAATTTGACACCTAAATTAAAGCATTATGCGTTAATTGTAATTTGCTTTGACAGCATGTTCTTGATCTGAGTCGGTATAGTAAAATCAACAAATTTTGTCCATCATCACCAGTCATCATAGGGAAAATTGCAGCGAATCAGGAACGTAGCTAGAATTGAGCGATTGAGTGCGAAGGCCCGCTTGATTCTATACCGTACTTTTCCCGGCATTTTTTACAGCATATTATGAACAATTAGTGTACATATAGCCCTGCTGCCGGAACTACATGCATGCATTGCGGGAAAGAGAGACAAACGGTTTTGTTAACGTTATTTAATACATGGCCTAGCAAACAACATACCAATAAAACGTGCATGCCAATATGAGTAAATGTTTCGGTATTACTCAAATCGCAAGGCTAGTACACTATATTGTATTTCCAGATTTTTTTAGGGCTCGTATTCCTTCTTCACCTACAAATTATGTGTATGTTTTTCAAGACCATTCCGTAAATTAATAAAATCAAAACTTACGTGAAATATTTAACGAATGTTCTTCAACATGAATGGGCTGTAATGTCGAGCAGTCAAAATCTGTCATTGTTATTGGAATATTATATCCAGCGTTTTGAAGAGTGGTGTTGATACGACTCAAAGAACAAGGTGACGAAGTGTTTGTGATGTTCGAGCAATGTTCACGGGATACCTTGAAAATACCTGGCGAACATCCACCACTTCCCTCATCCAAGGGCATATCACAATATTGGAATTTTTTCAGGCAAAGATAGTCTGATAACTGTGCTACACAGGATGACTGGTTTAGTGATGCCAGGGCATGAAATAGTGGAATATACGTGCTCAAGCTGAAAATAACTTCATCTTGTTGACTGCTATTGAGCGAAGATCGAGCGAAGAATGGGTGGCAAAATTTTTGCGGTTTCACATCAAAGCAACATGACTGATCTAGATATTGAAATGACGAAAAATTGATTAGATGACTTTGAATATCAATTGCTTGCAGTTTGCACCGCGCTTGTGAAAGTGAACTCGCGATTTCTTATTTAAATTAATATTCGATTTGAAACAATAAAATATCAATTACACAAGCATGAGTACTATTTAACACAAGATTAACATTGCATAATAGAAAATTATAACCATTCCAATTCGATTTCAAGACATGATCAAGACTGTGATGTTAAAGTGCCATTTAAAATAAATCCTGGGGAAAGTTTTTGTGTACAATTTCTGCAAAGTTATTGAAATTAGCCTTTTTCACGATGACACGTTTTTGGGGTACTTTCAATTCTCGCACATGAATTTAAAGAAATATAACAACACGAAGCAATTTTTTACACAATTTGAAGAATAAATTCAGCACAAAAATGAAGAGTCGCCGTTACGAGGTCTTATGCTCTTGAAAAAAAGTAACCCAAAAATGGCGGGTAACTGCAGATTCTGAAATATACTTACTAGATTGTATTTGCGTAGACGCTGCTGTTGGCCCTTGAAAATAAAAATTCTTTTATTTCATTTTTATAAACCATCGCCAGAATATCTCAGAAATTGATTTAAGATATTCACAAACTAGACCTATTCGCCCTTTTAATGGAAATTAAATGGCATTTAAAATACCCGGCATTTTGAAAAATGGTATGGAAGCGATTTGTCCTTATCATCAAGTGGTTTGTTCAGTAGCGTAGCCAGCGTGACAATTTGGTCATGCTATGCAAATTTCAAGTACAATTTCAAATACTCACGGAAACATTCTGTACTTGTGGTATTCCCTGGACGAGGCTTCGAAGAACATTGTTGTAATAAAGTCGAAATTGGGAATTTCAATTTCCTAATTGCATAACTGCAATCCATCGAGACCTGATCACACAAATCCCAACACGGTGGTAAAATCTTGCTGGAAACGATATCGAAAACAGGAAGATAAACGGAACAGATTAGTGGTAAAAGATTCACCGAACATGAGGTGTACACTAAGGGATAGAATGGATGCATTTGATAATGTGCCATCTCAATGCTGTCTTGCGACAGATTTGTTTTGCCGTAAAATTCCCGACAAGGAGAATCAATTGGTATATCAGTTCCTTGAAGACCTAAAGAAAATATGTAATTTTTAGAAGTAAATGATATACCAGACTGACGAGAAATACCGGGACGTCATGCATGAGGGGCCTCGAAAAAACGGAGATGTAAGGTAGGCGCCTATAAAGAGCGCACACATTTGACCTTCGCACACAGTACGAAAAAATAGACTTAAAAAACCGCCCATTTACAAAATGACTCATAGCCACTACCATTGAGCTCCAAATATCTGTTGTAGTATCTCTTCTGTTTTAGTCGCTTTGCTCTGGCGATTATCTCTATCTCCCCCAATTTCGCTCCCGATGTTTATTTCGGTCTCTTGAAATCAATATTTTAGTTTATTTCCCCGTTGGTATGATGTATTGGGCGCGCGTGGTATCAGTTTATTTCCTATTGGTATGATGTTTTGGGCCAGGTATCAGTCTAGTTCCAGTTGGTATGATGTCTTGGGCGATGTATCAGTTTATTTCTCCGTTCGTATGACGTCTTGAGCGAGGTGTCAGTTTCTTTCTGCGTTGGTATGACGTTGGTATAATGTCTTGAGCGATGTATCAGTTTATTTCTCCGTTGGTATGATGTCTTGGGCGAGGTGTCAGTTTATTTCCCTGTTGGTATGATGTCTTGGGTGATGTATCAGTTTATTTCGCCGTTCGTATGATGTCTTGGGCGATTTATCATTTTATTTCTGCGTTGGTATGATGTCTTGGGCGAAGTGTCAGTTTATTACCCCGTTGGTATAATGTCTTGAGCGATGTATCAGTTTATTTCTCCGTTGGTATGATGTCTTGGGCGAGGTGTCAGTTTATTTCCCTGTTGGTATGACGTCTTGGGCGAGGTGTCAGTTTAGTTCTCCGTTGGTATGATATCTTTGGCGTCGTATCCGTTTATTTCTCGGTTGGTATGATGTCATAGGGATGTATCAGTTTAGTACTCCGTTCGTATGATGTCTTCGGTTATTTCCCCGTTGGTATGATGTCTTGGGTGATGTATCAGTTTATTTCTCCGTTCGTATGACGTCTTGAGCGAGGTGTCAGTTTCGTTGTCCGTTAGTATGATTTCTTAGGCGTGGTATCAGTTTATTTCTCGGTTGGTATGATGTCTTGGGCGATGTATCAGTTTAGTTCTCCGTTAGTACGATGTCTTGGGTTATTTGCCCGTTGGTATGATGTCTTGGGCGAGGTATCAGTTTATTTCCCCGTTGGTATGAAAGATAGATAGATAGATAGAAACTTTATTTTAGCAGGGTAGCCCAATCAGCTCAAAGGCTGGTATCCTTAGGGGCCCTGCATATAATAAAATAATTACAAAATTTAAGTTAATTACCTATCATTACATTATTAAAGAGATTGTTAAAACTATGTACATATGAGATACAAAAATGATTACAAAACAATATTACATTATAGCTTAAAAACAGTGATTTTGAATACAATGCTTAAAATTAGACAAACTTGTAGCATTCTTTATTTTGCTCGGAAGTGTATTATAAAGAAGTGTTCCAGAGAATCTAAAAGTTCTTTTGCCTAAACTAAGCTTTGGTTTTGGAAGATGCAGATCATTTTTTCTTCTAGTATTATATGTGTGGATACTATGATTTTTCACAAAGTATTTACTTAGATACGCTGGGACTAAATTATTTAGGCACTTGAAAACTAAGATACATTTGTGCCTACTTCTACGAGTGGCTAAATCCACCCAGTTCAAACTAGAAAACGTATTCTTAGAACTAGTCTGTTGTAATATTACGCGCGCTGCACGATTCTGCAGTCTTTGAAGATTTTGACAGCACCCAACAGATAACTCTGTCCAAATGACATCGGTGTAGTCGAAAACTGGCAACACCAGTGAGTTGTATACGCTCTTCGACGCCTCTAGTGTTAAACAGGGACGTATTCGCGATAGTAAACCTAGCCGTTTGGCAAACTCGTTACATACTACTTCAGTATGTTCCTTTCATGTTATGTGTTCATCAAGCAGTACCCCTAAATAACTAAATTTTGGGACTCTTTCAATGTCATGACCATGAAGCTGGACATTAAAGCCTGAAGTCTTGTCAAGTCGTGGTTTTGTTCCAAAGAGCATAACTTTCGTCTTTGTTTGATTTAGAACAAGCCTATTATCAGCCATCCACTGTGTTACTCGGTTTAGATCGTTTTGTAAGATGTTCATAATTTCATTGGTATTAGGACCAGTGTAGAATATGATCGTGTCATCAGCGTACGTACTTATTGAGCAATTTATTAGGCATTCCGGTAGGTCGTTGATGTATAGGACAAACAGCAGAGCCCCCAACACGGACCCTTGAGGAACATCATATTCTAAAACAAGGCTAGGGGATAGTTCGTTCGCATAGTTTACCTTCTGCGTTCGATTTGTGAGATAATTTTGAAGCCACTCTAAACTTCGACCTCTGATTCCATAGTGCTCTGCTTTATGAAGAAGACAGTCATGGTCAACGAGGTCGAATGCCTTCTTAAGATCTTTAAATATGGCACTGGTTAATTGCTGTTTGTCCATGTGTTCAAGTATATGATCGACAGGATAAATAACTGCAGTTTCAGTTGAGTGTTTTTTTCGAAAGCCAGATTGATACCTAGATAGCACGTTGTTTTCAGTGAGAAATACCACGAGCTGTACTTGCACTGAGCGTTCCATTATCTTAGAGATAAGAGCTTAAAAACAGGCGTGACTTTAGCTTCCTTCCATTCTGTTGGAATTTTTCCTGTCGACATTGTTAGATTTATAAATATGCAATCGGCTCTGCAGTTATAATGGCCCCATCCTTTAACATTCTCGCTGGAATTCCGTCAAGACCAGTTGCTTTAGTTGGTTTTAGTTTCGAGAGTTCTTGACTTACAAAGATTACGTCTTGGACGAGGTGTCAGTTTATTTCCCCGTTAGTTTAATTGTGGTCTTGGGCGTGGAATCAGTTTATTTCTCCCTTGGTATGATGTCTTGGGCGATGTATCAGTTTATTTCTCCGTTTGTATGACGTCTTGGGCGAGGAATCAGTTTAGCTTCCGTTGGTATGACGACTTTGGCGTGGTATTAGTTTAGTTCTCCGTTGATATGATATCTTGAGCTTAGTATCTGTTCATTTCCCGTTGTGGGCGTGGTAATGACGTATTAATTTGGTTGCTTGAACTTTTCCACTGTTTTCCCACTATTCCATTCCAGAATATTGTTAGTTTCAGAATAAGCAGGCCTTTTAGTGCAAAAAACAGTTTTTAGGTGCATAAATTTTTAAATGAGCATAAAACATTAAATATTCAAAGCCCTGCAACTTGGGTCTCTTGGTGTTGTAAATTACAGATGTTGACTGTGATTAGGAGAACCTATTCCAAATACATCCGTAATGTGTTGGCATTATTCGATCTCTATTCAAAACTAAAAAAAAGTAGTAAATGCACTTGTTTGTTTATAAATGTACTTTCGGTTTAAAATAGTAAATTAAAATAGCTGCGAACAGTGCGAAAGAACTCGCTTTGTAACATGTAAAATTTTCATAAAAATTGCTTTGTTTTAAAGTAGATATGAGCATTTTTATGAAGGCTGTGCAAACATTGTTAGAGTACTTTTGATCAGTACTGTATACGCCTTCAATATGCTTAGCTACTAATTCATCGTTTTCAAAAGATTTTACGGTATCCTCCTAAGGGACTCATTTGCTGACTGTTCAGTTTTTACGCTTACGTATGACTTTGACATACTTAAGTGAGATTTTATTATAATTACAAAGTACTATAGTTCCAGTGATAAAAGGAAAAGACATCTTTAGACTTGCGCAGCGTAACTACCATGGCCCCCAAAGAAACTCCACTTTCTGTTTGGGCTGTTAATGAGCAATCGCGCCTCGCGATAGGCTCACTGTATACTATTGACAAGCAATTGCAGCCGCAACGCTTGCAACTGGAGTTCTGGCTATTGGAAAATCGTGGAAAATCGCCTTTTTCTCGCCTTTTCATTTTAGAACTTAAGGTTATGTTCCCAAATGACTGATAAATTAAATTGACATGCGAACTAGCAAGTTGTTATGCAAAGTAGCTACGTACCTTCTTCACATGTGATTCCATCTCCTGTATAACTGTGATCACAGGTACAATTGAACCACCCAACGGTGTTCATACACGTTGCTCGACGGTCACAGTTGTGAATCCCAAGCGTGCATTCTTCAATATCTTCAAAGGTGATAAAAGTGAATATTAGACGACAAAGTTTAATAATTTACTGTATAGCTATATATAGCAGCATGAACACCTTTATGATTGATTATACAGTATTTGAATAACTTTCGTAACATTTGTAGTACGCGCGTGTTGATTGGTTGAGAAGGGTGTTTCTATACAGTTTAGTATAAATTTCGAGGTGACTATTGATTTTTCTGCATTATGATTGGTCAAAATTCACTGTCTGTGAGTTGATAAATTTGGACCATGCAAACAGGCCCTAATGTAACGAGAATTTGTAGTTGAATCGATTTATAATATTTGAACAAAATCTCTTTATTGAGTTATATTATAAAAGAAGTAGAAAACATTTTTTCTGTGTTTATATACAGATAAGAAACAATTCTGAGATAACACTTTCCAAAAAACTTCTTTCGTAAAAAAGGTTGAATTAAAACTCGCCCTTCGTGCTTGTTTTCCCACTGATTATTTCTCGTTCTCCCAAACTCCCACGCTTGTCTCTATATAACTCTTATAAACAAGGAAAATGTTTTCTCTTTGTTAAATGTTTGTTATCTTCTTCAACAGTTTATACATGCTCAAGGCAAAAAAAACGTGTGCTTGTTCGGGGCGCATTTTTCTCGAGTTTTCAATTGTAGAACATTAGATTGTGCCTCTTTCCAAGCGACTGGTAAATTCACATGCGACCAAGCAAAGTTGTAATCAAAGTATACGTACCTACACATACGATTCCATCTCCTGTATAACCTTGATCACAGGTACAATTGAACCACCCCGCGGTGTTTATACACGTTGCTTGATGGTCACAGTTGTGAATCCCAAGCGTGCATTCTTCAATATCTTCAAAGGTGACAAAAGTGAATATTCGACGACAAAGTTGCTTTTCACAATTTAATGATTTACTGTATAGCTATATATAGTAGCATGAACACCTTTATGATTGATTATATTTGAATAACTTTCGTAACATTTGTAGTATACGCGCGTGTCAATTGGTCGAGAAGAGTGTTTCTACACAGTTTAGTATAAATTTCGAGGTCACTATTGATTTTCCTGCATTATGATTGGTCAAAATTCACTGAGTTGATAAAATTGGACCGTGCAAACAGGCCCTAATGTAATGAGAATTTGTAGTTGAATCGATTTATAATATTTGTACAAAATCTTTTTATTGAGTTATATTATAAAAGAAGTAGAAAATATTTTTTCTGTGTTTATATACAGATATAGAAACACTTGCGAGATACCACTTTCTAAAAAACTTCTTTCGAAAAAAGGTTGAATTAAAACTCGCCCTACGTGCTTGTTTTCCCACTGATTTATTTCTCGTTCTCCCAAACTCCCACGCTTGTTTTTATACAACCGTATAGAAAAACGTAGAATGTTTTCTCTTTATTAATTGTTTGTTATCTTCTTCAAGTTCGTTAGCTTGTTCGTGGCGCATTTTTCTCGAGTTTTCAATTTTAGCACATTAAATTGTGCCTCTTTCCAAGCGACTGGTAAATTCACATGCGACCTAGCAAAGTTGTAATGGAAAGTATACGTACCTACACATGCGATTCCATCTCCTGTATAACCTGGATAGCAGATACAATTGAACGACCCGGCGGTGTTTATACACGTTGCTCGATCGTCACAGTTGTGAATCCCAATCGTGCATTCGTCAACATCTTTGAAGGTGTTGAAGAAATTATATTAATAGACCGATTTCGACGCTTTCTGGTGCAGGTGCTATAGCACTTATTTATACTGCCGTAGGTCTGCTTGTTCTTTAGATTAAAAATAATTTCATTGACTTATACCTCTTATAATAGTTCACAGTCTATTATCATCTTCAACAGATTATATACTCCGGCCTTTGGGAAATGACAGTGCTCCGTTTTCGCCTAAGCGATTGACCCAAATCGTCCAACAGGTATTCTTACTCGTTTATTAACAAACAATTGTAATAATGCGATGGAAAAAACATATCGGACTACCGTCCTTGTCCGTGCCGTTAACAACAATAGCACTATAGGTGTGTCCATGCAGCTTATATAGCTACAATAAATATTACAGTTACGCACAATAATTAGTATGAACTAATGAATAAATAATACGCTATTTACTTCACTAATAATACTGTCGACAGTCACATGCATGCTTACTTGCTGCTTCACTCGCCTTTCGATTTTATAACATTAAATTTCCTAAAAAACTGTCGAATTCAGACCATATGCAAGTGTCTTTTAAACATACATTCATGAATCTTATTTATACCATGCATGCAATGATGCAAATAATCCAACGTTATTACGTCACATGAGTCTAATGTCAAAAGTAAGCAAGCTATAGACACTGGTAGCTAAAGTTAAAGCCAAACTTTACTTTTCTAATGATAATAAATAAAAATTGCAACCATTATCATTCATCTTGAGTCCATGCTTCATAGTATTTTCATTTTTACATGTTTACAATTTCATTTCAAAAATGCTTTGTATGACATTAAAGATTTGAGATAAGAATGTGTAAAGTGTTGCGTTATTGTATTATTGTATTGTATTAATTACAAAGCACTAATCAAGCAAAATTTATCATATATTCGCTACTCATATGTGCCTTTTGAAAAAATATAGTGAAACGAGTTCTTAAATCTAACATACCTGTTGTAGGCAGAGTTGTGGTGTTGATTTCAATATGTTGACTATTTGGTGTTGGGGGATGTGTTGCAGAAATGTCCCCAGGCGAGACTGTTGCATTGAATAGAGGTATAGCAACCGTGTTTCCTGATGTTTGAGATTTAGTTGTTCTTGAAACTCGAATGGAGTTAAATGCAGATGGAGGATCAGGTATTGCGACTGCAATAAACCAACGTAAGATATGTTTTAATATTTTTCATGCTAGGAAAATGTAATTTTACACCTAAAGCATTCCTAAAGTGTCTCTTTAACTATTTATAAGCATATACATTCAGGAAACTGTTTTACCCCATACAAATAATCTGAATTATCCAAAATCGAGAGATATTCAACATCTGTGGCCAGAAGATCAGGACAAAATTAACAGTCTATTTCCGCCTAAATTTGCATATGGTGTCAAATTATATCCTCGCAAGTTTATAGTAAACTGTACAATGCAAAATAGATTAGTGGGTCGGTTATAATTTGGTTTCATTGCTTTTTTCTGAACAAGTTACTCCAAACATCTTGAAGATATTTTTCAAAGTTTTTGGTCTGTATTCTTCCTGCTTTTCAAAACTAATGATTTATCACGTTGTAACAATAAACTAAAAATGCAGAGGTGACATATACCCATACAAGAAAAATATTTTACATTACCCATATAAATTGAAAATATTGAATGATTCTCTGAAATTTCGCGGAACTCACGGATGCGCAGTGTAATTTATAATGCAGCAATTGAAAGATATTTGAACAAATATGCAAATTATTTACGGCAAACTGTATGCTTAAATGAATCGATCTAATGTCATTATGTTAAGAGCAAGCAAGATATGGACCAGTTAATGAGCTGAACTCTATTAAATATTTTACTTTCTTGATGATCATGAATAACAAGTACGATCGTACTATAGGGACCAGGAACTGCGTAACCGAGTTTAATTTCTGAACTGCATTGTATTTATAACAATGGAGAGGACAATGTATTTCTAATCGTTTCCGTATAATTATTATTTGCTGCAAATATATCAACAATTGCTTGTAACTTGCTTCAAAGGTCAAAAGTAAAAATTCGAACTCCGTCAATCGATGCGGAATATTGCTTAGAATAATTGTGCCAAGTTTCATTCCGATCAAACAAGTAATGATAGAGCCTTAGGGTTTTTTTAAAGAGCGTCGCCTCCTAACAACAACAAGAAGAAGATTAGCAGCGGTTAGGGACCAGTCCCTGGTCCAAAAATTGCTCCATAATCATGCAAATCAAAAGATTGCCCAATTATCATGTATTTTTATTTTTGCATGTTTGCAATAAATGCTTTTTTGTCGCATATATATAATGATTTGATAAATAGCAAATGTAATGTAAGCAATAATTTTCCTCGGATGAAAGTAGACCGTTTACTATCCGGCAACTGTGCATATGGTGGTACGGGTGATTATACTCCTCGTGTTTGATGAATAAATATCTGCTCAGTTTATAAATGGCCAAGGGGGTTAATTATATTTCATTTGCAACTCAAATGTACCTTATTGGTCGAAAATATAGGTCTAACGCGTTCTAACATACCTGTTGTAGGCAGTATTGAAAGATTTGGTGGTAACCAAGGTCTGGTTGTGGTGCTTATTTCTATATGTTGATTACTTGGCGTCACGGGAAGTGTTGGAAAAACACCGCCAGGCGAGACTGTTTGATTAAATCCGGGTGTAATAGTTGAACTTGAAACTCGAATGGAATGAAATGGAGATGGAAAATCTGTTAAAATAAGTCAAAATATGATACTTTTTTATGCTAGAAACAATAAGCTGTCTTATATAACACCTATAAAGTATTATGTGTCATTTGTATTTTGAAATCAACAATTATTCTTGCCCATCACGCAAACAATTGCAACGACCGTCGCTGCTGTTAAAATTCATTTGGGAAGTTTACCCCTGCTTATATATTCGAATTCCTTTTCCCACTGATTTATTTTGAAGGCACTTTTCAGTACAGTATACGAAGATGTAATTCCCTAGGATAGTAACCTAAGCCAAAACTGGCCCATGAATATGACTCCCATTACAATACTTTACTCGTTTGGGAAAACACTGACTCGATCCTGCATGTAATCTAAAAGCACACTCTTAATAAGCTTAATAGTGACTCCCTTGCTTTTATTCCACTCAAATAAGCTATGCATATGAGCTACATTTTTGGGGGCAGCCAAATTAAAATTATGAAAAAACGTATTTGGTAACATAGGCTTACAAATTTTATTTCACATAACACTACCTCCACTTAGTTTTTAAAACTACACCCGGACAGTGTTTTTAAATGAATGCCACTATCAGCAGTATGAAATGATATGGTAACCTTATTAAATAACATTGCCAACTGTATAGGTTTCTCTTAATTCAAGAATTAAAAAGTGTCTTTGATCCTTTATGGTGTAATAATGCACCGGATAGGGGAATGATGAAACTTCTGACATACGATAAGAGTTGTGTATTTCTTTTATACAACCTGCTCCAGATCATTCCTAACTAGTCACTTGCACAAGTATCTTTATCGTGGCAAACATCTCTATAATTTCCGTCCTTATCAGACACCCTGTGGCTGTGACGTATATACAATAATAAACGAGTTTGGCAGGATATTTACCTCAAAATTGGCTGAAATCTGTTTGATTACAAGCACTAACCAAAAGAAAGACCGATTTTACACAACTTAATTTTATTTGACAATCACTTTGCCAATGTACTTTGTCTGTGTGGAGGGTAGATGGTAATTCGCATAAGATTGAAGTTTCTTATGGCATAATTTATATCTATGCACGTAAGACACCTTTTTCACTGCTAACCCGTCGTGATTCTTTTATTGAGACTTCCGTTTTTGACGTAATGAATTAGAAATATGTAGCTTTAAAGTTATAGTCTGATGATGACTTTGAAATAGAATCGAAACCTTGCTGTATGATTTCGCACATGCCATGCAGTCTAGCGTTTGGTTTTAACGTATTCATTCATCAGTGTGACCATGCATACGTGTATATGCAAATTTTAACCAGGATGATCAAATCTAGTTAGACTGCCCCTCCAGGTATAAATTTTGTCAGTAATTATATAAATCAGGTGGGGCTGTACATGGGAATCCGATCAGATCTTGGTAGTTAATAAAAATTACAAGATCGGGTTGCATTAATACATATTTTATACACACACAAAATTACGAACCTGCTGCTGATATATTATGCATGGGTGTAGCCGTAACACCATCCATTGAACCCAAAAATTTGGAACTTACAATATCGACTAATGATAGGAAAGAAATATCAGAAGTTGTTGTTTTCAATAAAGTCGGTGTTGGTGTGGATATCCTTTGTAAAACGCTCGTATTCATAGACTGACTTTTGGTATCGCACATTATCCCAAACATAACACAAAAACATACATATACTTTTGCCATTGTGGTGGTACTTGCCAGCTTCTTGGTTTATTCTCTCTTGACCAGGCGCTTTGTATTATATATACATTATCAACATCCGTTCGTGATAGATCCACCCGCGCGTTAATTACTAAAAATAACAGGAAGTTCAAGTTTGAACCGTTATATAAATATAGAATTCCCAATGAATGTACACTAAAACATTTTTTAGATTTACTTCGGCAATTGTTTTCAACGCCACACAATTTACTATAAACAATATACATAAACGAATGTCTTTACAGCGTTTAAAAATACGAATATGAAATTGTTAACCGCATTATTGTTTCTCATATATATATATATATAATATATATATATATATTATAATATATAATATATATAATATATATATATAATTGTTCATACTTTTTATATGCATCCGTTCGACAGGACAACGCGGTGGCTAATTACACGCTGTGTACACAGCAGATTATTCTTTTCAAATTGATTGTTTTTACGGTCAGTGAATTGCCAAAGCTGCATGGCAACCGCACTATACAGTACGCAACTCGCAAGGAATGTGAATTCCTTACCCTTGATTCAGTATTTTTACATGCTCTAGCCGTAAAAATGGGTTTTCAGTTCAATTACACACACAACACGAATAATAATATATTCTTTTTTCGTCGTATTGCTGCAATGTCGCAGATTGACCCTGGAGTAGTTTGAATCATAATAAAGTCCACGACAACAGACGAAACAACTTTTCGTTTGAGAGATGAAAGTTCGTTTTCGGTATTTTTGAACTTTTGAAATGAATTGCAAGCTGTCTACATATCGTCAAAGAAGTTGAAAGAACGGTGAAAATGTGGCATTCGAAAGTGAAGGATTCACACCACCGCAATAACAAATAACGCTGTGACAGAACGCCGAGATCAATTTGGTTTTTACTTGCGACGAACGCTCTTTCAGTAGTATATTAGAGTAAATTAGACTGATAAGAGTTTTTTTTGGAAACTGCTGTTTTAGCTTACTAAACTGTTTTAGCCCGCAAACTAGCTTACGCAATCTTATTCCTTCCTGCTGCTTTCGAAGCGGCATCGACCTGCATTACAGGATTTTGATTAAGCAAATAGTCCTGTGCATAATTCGATACATGAACTAGAAAAATACGGAATAATTTTAGCGTATTGTCTCATCTTTCATGTATTAATCAGTGTATCTTGATCAACTCTCACTACACAATAACCCGTGAATAAACTAATATGAAAGTATTATCATTCAACTGAAACCCTTTTTCAGCCGATAACTTTAGCAAATATGGAATAAAAAGTTATTCTAAATAAAGAGTGTATGAAAAAAGGCATCAAAGCTTTTATTAAACCTGTGTATTAGGAATCAAATCTGACTCAGCTTCAGCAGTTATATGCAGGAAATCATATATAACATTATTATGATAATAATGTGCATATTTCTGATGCCTGCATGCAACGCTATTATATGATGATACTATTTTTATATCGTGATATAAAAGGAGAACCAAAACATATTCAAAAGTATATCAATACTCTTCGCTGGTGCTCACTTGTGCCAGCATGTATACAAATTTGGATACTTAAGCGCGTACCACGGTTTTTGGGCAAAGCGGGAAACGTTAAGTCAAGATAGATCAATTAATCTTTCCGTAATATGTAGAACTCAGTGATTTCAACATGCTACATTTTCAATATGAATTGATAAACTTTGATGAAAGACTTGTACAGTCACTGGACTAGACTCTTTACCAAATATACCTTTCATTGAGTGAAATTATTCAATTCTGATTAGTTTCGATCAGAATCAGATCAGATTCGTTTGGTTGATTGCATAATAGCCTAGTGCTTGAATGTTAGCATGTACTGATAAGCATTGATTTCCCTCATATTAATTCACACTTCGGTTTATGTCTGATAAACAGGGGCGACATTAGTTTTCAGCTAACTATATATATTATACATTAATTTTGATATATACACCTCAGTCTTTGCATTATCAGTATTTAAGACGCACAGATACGGAAGGGACTAGACTGAGTTCCGAAATATCAACTACTCGAACCGTCTTGACCTTGACTCGCAAACCAAAGGTCGCTGGTTCGATTCCCACCGTAGTCAAGCTAATTTTTCAGCTTGCCCGGTTGGTGAATCAGAGTAGAAACATCACATATATACATTTGATATATACACCTGAGTCTTTGCATTATCACTATCAATTTAAGACGCCCAGATATGGAAGGCACTAGACCGAGTTCCGAAATATCAGCTACTCGAACCGTCTTGACCTTGTACCTCAGTTGTATGTATAATATATATATATATATATATATATATATATATAATATATATATATATATATTATATATATATATATTATATATATATTTTTATATGGCAAGCGCTTGTTTTGGTTAATTCTGCAATTTGATTGGCTGCTGACAGGTCCGGATTTCCCCGTATTGCCCGAGGGCAATACGCAATTCTTATTGCCCTGTGAAAACAAGGCAAAACTCACGGCAAAAACTGACTAAATTTAAACTGAAAAACAGATTAAATTCTTAAACGGAAAATAATGAATTTGAAATAAAAAAATAAATTTCTATTTTACAAAATAGAGCGTTTTTTTTTCACTTTAGGCCGATGTTTTGGTGTCGTGTGCACGGATGAGATTGATCATTAAAATTACAATGTCTGCATGAATTATGCCATATAATAAAAAACTTACTAACTTCGACTGTTCGGTCTGTACGGTAAAATATCAAACCTCGGTCTTGGTGTATTGACCTCGCTATCGCTCGGTCAATACAGCACGACCTCGGTTTGATATTTTACCGTACAGACCTCACTCTCAGTCAGTAAGTTCTTAATATACACCCATTTGCAAAAACGTTGGCCGCAGATAGATAGATAGATAGATACTCGAAATCTAATTAGAATTGCATATGTTGTGTAATATGATTGAAATCCCATGCAAACTTAGCCATATGCATTTCTAATTAGACTTCGAGTATATCAATCTATCTGCGGCCAACGTTTTTGCAAATGGGTGTATATATATATATATATATATATATATATATATATAATATAATATATATATTATATAATATATATATATATATAATATAACAATTAGTCGCCGAAGGCGAGGTGAGATAGATATGATATAGATATAACTCAGATATAGATATAACGTCATGGCGGATGGACACAGTGTTCATAACTCCGAGTCTACAAATAAAAATCTCATTGATGCCTTTGATTTCCTCAATATAAATAAGTATATAACATCGGATAGCATTTCTTACGATGGTAAGCGAATTAAATGGCAGGATAGCTACGAATCCTTGCAAGATTTTGTGGCGAATGCCTTCGGTCAACAAGGCAAGTGGCGGCGGTCAGGAGGCGTTTCAAAGTGTTTTGATGCCCATAGCACAGATCTATCTATGACATGGTATCCCGGAAAGTTAAATACCTTAACTTTCAAAGGAACAGTTGGAGAAACAGCAAAAGCCTGTTTGATCGACCTATTGACGCCACCTAAAGATATGCCGGAAAATGCTTTTAAAAGTATTGACCATCATGATAACAACTGTGAGTATTTAGAAAATATAATGTTGGAGATTGAAATTCTGAATAGCAAGGTCGACTCAATGCAGGCCCTAAACGATTCCCGTGGTGATCCCCCATCAATCATAGTATCTAAACTGTCTAAAGAAGTAGCTTGCCTACATATTGATCTTGAGGGAGAAAAGGCAAAGAACAGTGCTTTAGAGCATGAGGTAAACCGTCTCAAAGATGAGATTTTGTTAATTAAATCATATCTAAAGGGAACAGCGAACATAGAGAACAATACAGATTTAAGTCCTGTCGGATTAGCCTCAGTTAATGGCAAAAGTAAACTACCCAATGGTCTGGGTCACGAATCGGTGTTTGAATATCAAAACCATAACCGTATAACGAGAGGCTTAACAGCTGCTAATGATTCAGTCATCATTGTTACTGATGTCGAACAAAATGATCCAACTGCAGGTCATCTCCCTAATGGAAATAAAAGCCACCATTGTCTTAGTCCAAATCTTGATCAACTAAATGCAAATCAACTAGATGCAAATGATTCACTAAGACAACAGGTTTATCATTACCGCGCCAAACAACACAAAGCATTCCTCCAAAAACACGATTGTGAAAGCGAATTGCGCAAGATGCCTTTCCCTGCAAGACCTAGGCGTTGTGGCTCTATACCTAGAATTCAAGACTCAAATCACCCCTCTATAACTGATCGACATCTAGTCAGAAAGATCCAACTAAAAGATCCAACTGCCGGTCATCTCCCAAATGCAAATAAAAGCCACCGGTGTCTTAGTCCAAATCTAGATAATTAAATGGAAATGAACAAAATGCAAATGACTCTCTAACGCAACAGGTTCATCATTACCGTGCTAAACAACACAAAGCATTCCATCAAAAGCAAGACTGCGAAAGCGAATTGTGCAAGAAGCCTTTCCCTGCAAGACCCAGGCACTGCAGCTCTATACCTGGAATTCAAGACGCAAATCACCCCCCTATAACCCATCGACACCTAGTCAGAAATCGTGATCAAAATTTTTTATTAAAAGCGTCCAGGAGAAACCACCGTCCAAGGAGAAACTACCGTCCAAGGCCGCCTCGGAATCCAACAAGGGTCCATTTCTGGCAGCCGCCAACGCTTATAAAGCCCCTGATAAAGTTCAACTCGAGTCTTCAAATAGACCCCATAGAACAAATGAAGTCGTGGAAGGAATACCTCCACTATGTTCATCGAGTAACACGGAACAATATCAGCCAGCAGAGATGAGAATACCTACTAGGATTACTTACAGAAAAAACAAACGGCGGGAGCGCATCTGGGTTCCCAATTTTAGATTATTAATCCCATTGAAGACTCCTGTTACGATCCCACGCTTTCCCAAGATTTGGTTTAGTAATGTTAGGTCGATGGTCAACAAGTTAGACGAAGTTTCTGCATCAATTTCTATCGAACTGTGTGACGTTGCCGTAATTACT